CGCGTCTTTGAGTGGTTACGAGATAATTATATCCTGCAATTCCGTCATATTGGTAGCGACAAAGCGTCGTTTTTTTTTCACTAAACACGAAGGACTTTAGATACATTCGTTCAGAGAAATACGTTCAAAAATCGAGCAAAATTCTTGTTAATTTATTCTTTCAATTTAATCTTTGGAAGGTTAATTATAAAACAAGAACGAAAGTTGAAATGTCGATTAAGTTATAATTTATTTGTTAAGAAATTTATGTTAGACGAAGAAGCGTGTTAGTTGGATGAAGTTGGATAGAGAGAGATAGATCTTTGTTACACTGTCGCGCCGCGGCGCGGCGCTGTCATTCTATCTCTTTTTACAATTAGTATCGAGTAACAAATCGATATTTCTTAATTTTTTTTATATTAATTTTTTCGTAAAGAAATAAAGAGCAATGAAATTTGTTTAAACAATGAAATTGCATACAATTTTTTCCAATAATTTAGGAATTAGATAGGATTTTTTTTTTTTTGGTTGGAATTGTTATTTTCTGTTGAATATATTTATTCCTCTTTTTTTTTTTAAGAATAAGAACAATATTTGAAATTTTGTTTACAAAAGGGTAGAATATTTATACGTACACATATATGTAAGATACAAAAGTTCCTCCATACGAACTCGGAAACAATGTGAAGCTTGAGTGTGAAATATCGTAACGATGTGTTAATACGAGTTAACAATAGTGTGTCGTCGCACCTCGAACCTCGACTCACCTGCTATGAAAACTTGCTTCTTTGAACTCGGTGTAGTCAGTTTTGCCACAAGTTCTATACGTAAAACTTGCACAATTGTTGATACAAAATACTGTACATTTTCAATCAGCATATGTGAATGCAAACTGATAATTTTTATAATAGAAAGAAGATTTCTAGAAAGATAATCCGTAAGTGAAAATTTTTATTTTACCAAAATAAAAATAATTTAAGATTGAATATATATTTTTTTTCATTAAAGATAACAAACGTTTTTAAGAAATTTTTTTATTTATTAAAAGATTCGCGATAAATAATAAGAATTAATATAAAATAAAAGAGGAGAATTGAAAAATGTTGCGATACGGAGTAAGGTAGAATATTTGAAATCTAAATCTTTGAATACCAAGATTATAGGCGATTCTAACGTTATTTATACTATTGCATTATTTTCTCAATGATTACACAGAAACGACAAATGTTTGAAGACAGCTCGTCCACGATTTAAAAACGATTCACATGCTGAGTCGTACCTTTTACCAGCTACGACCACCGTAACTGCAAACAATTTTTCATTCATCCGCAAACAACTGTGCAGAATCGAAGAAACAATCGGCAAACAATAGTTCGACAGTTCCGGAATACGAGTTACGATATTTGTCGTACGTGACTTAGCCTTGGCTACCGCGCTCATAAAACTTGCGGTTCCAAGTGTATCTTTTGAAGGAAACGTGACGATATCCGCGATGAGTATATACGAAATTTTATGAGCTTTCTTCGCCATAAATCTAATTTTAGGTCACGCGTCTATCCAGACACATCGGTAGAAAATCTTGTTTAAAGGAAAACTTTATTTTTTCTTATATCTTTTGAATATCTATATACACATCTGATAACGTACACGCGTAAAACTAACGTACTCTGCTCATCATCGCCAAGTTCATCGAGGAAGGAAATTTCATTTCTCTCATCTTCTCCTCTGAATTTTTTTCCACAACGTCTAGAATGAAAAAAAAAAAAAAAAAGAAGAAGACGAAGCTCATTTGCCCTATTGGAGCAAGGTGTCTAATAGAATTTTGATGAGAAGCAGTAAATATACCGAAACGATGAAGTCATTGGTTAATGACTGTCATAGAAATGACTTTTACGGTCGATGTTCCCTCGTCCAGATTCCTCCTGCCCTTCCCTCCTCCTTCATCCACCGGATTTTCTTAAAGCAACGTTAGAATCTTCACCAATTTCAGGGAATACCATTCTCTGGGAAGTTGTAAAAGCGGTTTAATGTGTATCTTCACGCTCGCGTATATATACACTGCATCGTAAACGGCGGTATACTGTAATTTAATGCCCCTCGATCTTGTTCAACGGTGTGGAGAGAGGATCGAGCGGATTGAAATTGGAAAAGTTATATAATCGAACGGTGGAAGCTTCTCTCTCGATCGCCAATATTTCCGTTAAAAGGGTGATTCTTTATTGTTAATGCTTTTCTAATTCTTGCCAGGTATATTTGTTTGGAATTCCATTGAAGAGATTGGTTTTTACGCGATGAAGAGGGTTAATTAAAGGCTTTAAAATATAATTGTATTGCTGTGTTAAATATATCGAGGAAGAATAATAATTCGATTAAGGAATTTTGCTTATTGCAAAAATTTATGTTATTTTCTTTTATGAAGTTGGAAGTTGTATACTTTTTGTATGTTTACACGGAAATTTCTTGGTTCGATTCGTGAAACTTTTACTTTCTACGATTTTTTATTGTATTTTATATAATACTTTTTATTTATCTTCCTCTTATTAATTTTTATTACATTATTACATGTTAATATTGAAATTAAGTATCGTAAATATCGATTATTAGAAGTTTTGAAAAAGTTGTTTATATTCTTCTATTATTGTATTCAATTTACATCATCTTAAAATAGAAATATACTTGTAAAGTGAATAGAGTGTTAACCTCTTGGCGTTAAATAGCGTAATATCTGATATGTCATTGTTTATTCTAATATAAGAAATGCATGATTATGCTAAAGACGGTATTTGACACTAAAAGGTTAATCGGTTGGCTAAACTATTATATTTTCTTACTTACGATTATTATCTTTACAAAAGCTTTTAAAAAGTTTCTAAATTTACCAACTTAATAATCTGTATAGACAACTTCTGATATATCGTTGAAATATAAAATAAGATAATGCAAAACGAATTTAAATTAATTTATATAATAATTTTAGAACGTTTAAAATTAAAATTCACACATCGAAAAATTAACCCTATATTAAAGTTAAATTTTTAACGTTCAAAGGAAAAAAAGAACTTGAAAATAGAAGAAGAAATCTCATCATATCTTTTTTATATCCTCTTCAAATTGGAAAAATTATCGATAACATCCTTATTGGTATTCAGCCAACGGATTCTCAAACGTTACTCTCCACTGATAAATTAACACGAGTAACAAATTCGCCTCTGAAGATTCACCGGCATGATGCTCGTCGGTGGCATCAGTGGAATCATCACGATCTCGCATCGCGTGGAACGATCGCGATTCCTATCGTCCAACAAATTCGGCTGTGTGCACGAGTTACAGCCGCCATAAAATTCCGGCCATTTAACGATGGCAAGAATTTATTGGATATTTTTGGTAGCTAATGCGGCCAGTGACCCTTCGGCCATCTCTCCCTTCTCTCTCTTTCTCTCTCTTCCCTTAAATTCTTGAGCATTTTCAAAATAAAGTATTATTCGCATTATCTTATATTTGATTAGACGAAACAATCAATTTCTTCATTATCGCCTTTCTCTTATTTCACCAATTGCCGCGTAAACAAACACGTTTAATAACACGAAATCTAACCCCAAGAAAGAAGGAGAATATTAATAAATTATATCGAATTATTATTCCCTTATCTTATCTCAAATAAAATTTGTCCAAGCCTTGTTCCCTTCCAACCCTCACGAAACGTTCCCTATCCCAAAACGGTCGCAATACTTCTTACACGCGCGGCGCATACGGCGTCCACTCCACTGATCGAGCATGAAGATAATGGCGCCAGGACGGGTTCATTTATTGGACGTAAATCTCCCGACTTCTCCGCCTAGCGGCGCTCTCGGCGTGTAATCGTCCTCCCGTACGGTTATACGCCTTAAAGCGTATTTCATCGAAATTCCTGGTGTCGAAAGACACCGTTTACACGCAAAGACGTTAAAGAAGCTTTACGACGCGGCTCTGGCTACCGCCTCGTTACGAAACCGGTGTTATGGGCGAGGGAAAGAGGAAGAAGAAAAAGAGGAGAAGGAGGAGGAAGAAGAAGAAATCGATCGAGAGGGAAACGTATGGTACGAGATTGAATTTATCGTGGAAACGTCGAAATACGAGCCACGAGTTGACGCGAAGGCAAATGCCGAGTTTTGAAGGCGTTGGAAGGAAGGGGCTTTGGTGTATTGGTAAGCGGATCGTCGATCGTCACGTGAGAAGACGATATTTTATGGATTATCTGATCGGAACGGGGGCTCGACTCCAACGTGGATGCTGGATGGATGTCGGAGCGAAGGTGTATCGGGTATTGGCTGTTTCAAGTTGGTCGGTTTCCAGGGATTTAAGATGGATAGGGTGAGAAAGATTAGGTATTGGGTTTGGGATTGTACGTGGCTCGGGTTGTTTAAGCTGGATTTGTTCCTGTTTTATATTTTATTGGTGTGAGAACAGAGGGATTTGAAGGGGGTTAATAGATGCGAAGGATTAGATTGTGGACATGCAGTTTGAAATAATAATAATAAGGTGAATCAAATGGGATGAAACGATATATACGTGTTTCAATTTATACCTGCTTTTTGCTAAGCTCTTTATATTATTGTAATTGATATACATTTTATTTTGAGATATAAATTAATTACTCCTAGTACTGTGTGTGAGATTATACACACGTATATTTTCTTTTTAAAACGTATAAGAATAAGTTTAATCAGTGTTGATTATTCCTTACAATAATGTAGAAAATTTCCAATTTATTAATGAACTTATCTTTTATCGTTAGAAATATAATAATAATAATAAATAGCAAATAAGATAGGAGAAATGATATAATGATACATAAGTAATACAGATAATGGCAGAAACTTGTTACTTTATCAATTCTATGTGCGTCAATCTGGTTAGATCTAAGTAATATTCCAATCACTCTATTTTGATGTATTTATCACGTTTGTCACAGTGTTTGTCGATCGACACACTCTCGATCGATACTCGAACACGAAGAAATTTCTTCCTTTTTTCTTTTCCAGGTGAGGTATCAGGTGAGAACGTGTCCGCGGGTTCTGGACCACGTAGTGGCGATCGTGGAGAGGGGACTGATTTAGGTACACACACGGAAAATAACGACGGGGCCACCCTGGCCGCGAACACAGCGGTCGACGCGAGGGGCGGAAGCCCCCAGGGTGCCCACCTTTCCGGTGCGGCCACCCCCAGACCGCTAAGGGGTAGGAGACGACAAAACCAGAATGGTCTCGACACCACTCAAGTAAGTTCAACGACAATTTTAATTAATTTTTATCCTTCTTATTCCTTTTTCTCTAACCTGCAATTATTGTACTCGAAGAAGAGCCTTCTTCAATTTTTACATCTTTAGAAGTGTAAAAGATTCGTTGGTCAACATGTGATTTCAAAGCAAAGTTTCAATCAACTTCGAAATTTACATAGAAATTCTGAGACCCTTCTCGTATCCAACAGTATCCAATTTTAACTTATAGAAAATTATTCGTAAATTAATTTGGCAACTAACGATCATAAATCAAAACCAATAACATTCTTCTTTGCACAAAAGTTATCTAAAAATCGCTTTTCGAAAGAAAAGCAATGAATAGAAAAGAAGAAAAAAGAATCTCGCGCTGTTTGCCTTCCAACAAATATCCAAAAGACTCGTGTCTCGAGTGTTTGATCGGGAACGGGCATAAGGAGGCTTCTCGAGATAAAGTTTACCAGTGGAAGCGGTAGCGTGTGCGCGAGCGGTCCCGTTCGAGGCAGGCCTCCTCTCTGTGACAGCGATGTCAAACGAAAGTCGCAGTGTCATCCCGTCGTTGACACACGCGCGCGGCTGTTCGACGCTTCTGTAAATGCGGTGCAAAGGGTGACTGACTGAGGGAAAGAAAAAAAAAAAAGAAAGAAAAGAAAAGAAGAAAAGAAGAAGCGAGGAAGGCGAATGGCCAGGAGATATGGACGATCATCGTTCAGGAAAAGAATGGGCGTTCAATGACACGTGAAAATTCTTCTACTGCTGCTGAACGGTTAAACGAATGAAGATCCTCGCGTGGAAGAAACAACGATGGATCGACGTGGAATCTTGATACGATTGGATACGATTGGCTTGTTCGTTCCTTGTAATCGATGCATTAACAAGCGTTGTATCTTTTTTTAGTTTGCCTCTGGTTTTGATTCAAAAATATTTTTCTTTTTTTTTGAAAGTTAGAGAGTGATAGAAAATTGGGAATGTGATAAGTGCTACTGATTTTGTAATCGATGGTATGAAACTTGGTTATTTTAGCGAGGGAGTGAAATGAAGAAAAAGTTTAAGAGTCGAAAGAAGAGATTGGTTTGATCGATGGATTTTTGAAAAGATAAGAGTTATGATCATTATATACTATTCAGCATTGTACAATTAGTGTAAATTCCTTTCTCATAATTTAAAAATAAATAATTGCATCAGAAGATTACTATTTTAAAACTATTAACAATTTACATATTTATATCATTTTTAAATTATCATATCGATCGCCATGAGCTTCAATTTCTCTGCAAACGCACCTGCCGATCAACCTTCCCTCGAATCCTTCCACTCTCGAAACCAAAAAAAAACCAAAAAAAGAAATAAGAATATCGAAGATCCTCGATTTCTTCGATCCTCGATTTCTTCGATCCTCGATTTCTTCGATCCTCGATTTCTTCGATCCTCGATCCACCTCTCGTTTTCTCCAAAAACCATTCCCAACTCCTGTCAACAAATCGACCGAACTCTGGTCTAAATTCCTCAAAATCCCTCTATCGAAACTCTACATTTCTCGTGTTTTATCGAGGGTAAAACCTCCCTCGGGCGCGCGTTTCTTTCGCAAGGACGAGGTGGACGAAACGTGGACGAACTCCACGGAGAGAAGCGTGGCTTGTACACGTTGGGATCGTGTCTACGTTGCGAGAGGCCGTTGTCAGGAAGAGGTCTCGAGGCGAGAAAGAGATTTACCGTGGCGGTACGGCCTCCTCGGGGACTCTATTCTACGCCAATCGAGTCTCGTTCTTCTTGGTGTCACGTCGCCTTCTCAACGAAGGCGAAGAGGAGTCAACTGTCCCCGCCACGCGTTCCCTTCATTACCATATCTCGGATGCAATCTGTTCCACGGGAATTAACGCGCACCGATATTTCCTGCCGCCCCTCCCCTGGACGGGGATACTGGTCGAGGATGACGTTTTCAATGACGAGGAACGCCGCGAATTCCTTAGTTGGTTTTTTTTATATAGTGGCATTTTCTTGGAATCTTTTTCTTTCTTTCTTTCTTTTTTCTTTCTGTATGTGTGTGTATATATGAGAATTTTCAATTCGAAACGGAAGTGTGAAATTAAAGTGGTATCGAAGGTAATAGGTAGATTTTTAAAATTTGTCCAATTTGTTCTTGGAATTATATTTTTTGTTTGAAACAGATCGTTATGAAAGTATAAGTATATTTGACAATGCAATTTTTGGAATAGTTCTGTAATTTGTGACATACGGAATATTTTATTCAGATATGAAAATTTTTATTCAAAGGTAGGAGAGTGAAGATGTATTGAATGATATATATATTTATAATAGGATTTCTTTTCTTATTTTTGGGATGTGTTAATATGTTTTGTGTGTCACATGGAATTTTTTGGAATATTATTCTTATATAAAATTTGTACGTGGAAAGTATATGCGAAAGTGTGAAAATATTGGTGATATGATTGATGTGTTCGATATGGGATAGTGAAGGCAGCATAGAATTTTTTTTAATTTTTTGTAGTAGGCTGTTTTTTAGCTGGTGTTTTTTGCGAGGTAGCTATTTAGGCGATCGAGTGATTAATTATATTTTAATTGGATATTTCAACAATGCGTTACGTTTGAAACGTGATTCATTCCTTATGGTTATAGTTATCTCTGGAAGTACACGTGTTATATTTAATAATATGTTGTTATATACGTATTATGTATATGATGCTAAAGTTAATTTTACATGAAAGATTTCTTTAGAGATAATTGATCATAAAAAAGAACGTGTAATTTAAAGAAGAACATAAGTATAAATATTAAACAATCTATTACAAGTATCATTTAAATTTACAGAACTAGAATTTAAATTTTACATACGTTATTTTTGTATAATGAATTATCATTCGTTATTGAATGATTCTTTATAATACAATTTTTTAAATATTCGATAAAAATTAAGTCATGATTGATTTCTCAGTTCAAAATTTTCAAGGGAAGGGCGTGATGTTGTGTGTTACAGGTTAAAACAGAACGGCTCACGCCAGACAATAATTCAACGTCGTCGAGGAGCGTGACGCCCTCATCGTCCAGCCATCCAGGAACGCCACCAAATGCTACCCCTTTGGGTGGACCCGAGGGCCCACCACCACCCCATCACCTCAAACACATGGAGCAGATGATGGGTCGGAATTATAGCGATTTCATGAGAAGCCTCGCTGCCAAGTACAATAACGCCAATCCTAATGAGTGAGTACACTTCTCCTCTCTCTCTCTTAGGAAACCTCCATTCCTAACCATTAGCAGATTGATTCAAATATGATAATTTAAGTTTACACGATCTCTTTCTGTTCGTGTTGGACTCATCGATTTGCTAAAATAACCATCCATGGAAAAACTAATCGTTAACCAAGGACTTAAGACTTGAAATATTTTTTAAAAATTTCAATCTAACGAAACAAATGTTGATTCACTTTCTAGAACTAAGATAATTTAATAAAATAGATTAAATATCGAAATTCTGTGCGTATATTACGTATTATAGTTTTATTGGTTGCTACAAAAAAATGGCCACACTCATCAGAAAGAGGTTAGAAACATCTCGATCGGTAAAGAGGTTCGTAGATTCGTTTCCACAATTATTCTCAACGCAAAATCTCTACGATTCTCTCAAATCCAATCAAATCGATATCAGGCGCATCCACAACAAACGTTGTATTATTTAAAGAGCATAAGACCTTGAGAGAGTCATCACGCTCGCCTTGACATTCTTCGTACTTTCCTCCATGTGCATACGTAGGAATCGCATAGAAACGCGTAAGAAGCAATCCTTGACGAGAATGTCGTGTATAAAAGAAGAATATCGATCGCCTCGTCTTGAAATATCGCTGCTCATCTATCATTGGACCGAGTGTTCTTGATAGAATGTTGTCGTTTGAAACTGGTTGCAGCTTCTTTGCTTTCCAACTTCCGGCTGAAAGATCGGCCGAGACGCGGAGAATAACGCATCTGTGGTTTCGAGGAGAAAGTAACTTGTTCCGATTCGATGAATAAATATGGATCCTGGAATCCTTCCACGTATGAGCGGGATGTGACGAGAAATGATATTGAATCGTGTCTTTGTTGAAGTAATAATGAGAGAGAAACTTTCTGTCGTGTTCCTTTAAGAGTTCTTTCATGTTTCTGTTGGTTAGTAGTGGAAGGTTGATGCTTGTTTATGACAGAGGAATATTAAAGAAATGTAGGAAATAAGCGTCAACATATTGTAATAGGAATAAATGTCTCTTTGATGTGTAAGAATACTTGATAGGAACGTGGCCTTAAAATGGAAACGTTCTTTTGATTATAGATTTCTCTGGTTTCGTATGGAAGAATTTGATATTTGTTCGATATTTTTTGAATTTAATATAATGACAATAGATTTTTTTGTATTGCGTATAAGGTATCTTAGAATAACTTTATTGGTATGTTTATTAAAATATTCGAGTTTATATAAGGTAAAAAAGAATATTTTATAGATTTGTTATGTTCTTGCATTTTCTTCTTATCTTTTTTATGAATATTTTAAAGATGTAATTTATAATAAATAATATTCCATGCTAAGAAATTGTTGAATAAGTACGTTGAATTTAATTTTCGAGATTTGAATTGAATATTATTAGAATGTAAAATCGTTGAAAGATCGTTTGAAGCAATTTATGAGACAGAGGTGTGATATTTCATTTTGGTCGATGGTTACAATTGAACGAATGTTATTTTTTTGAAATAATTTTTAAAAATTTTCTTAGGAATTTTAAATAACCAACTATTATGATTTCGAACTTTTAGATAAATATGTTTAATAATTTTTATGTTTTAAATTGAAATGATATAAAACTTGACGATAAGAATTATGAAATCACTCGATTCTAGGAAATCATATTTAATTACGTGTACATAATGCCGATTCCGCAGTAAATTATTACACAGTGAATTTTAAATCTTGCATACTTAATTTGTTAAATATTGTCAACTACAAATTACGTTTCATTCAGAAACGACTTTAATAATTAGATAATTAAATACAAATCTTCAATAAACAATATTAACTTTATTGACATAACTTATCACTCTTCAAATCTCATAATAATCTCGTAATAGATAGTCACATATAATTATTTCATTAAAATTCAAGATACCTGTTTATTCAAATTGAAACAACGTCAGAGATTTATAACGATCATAATCCGTTTACATTAAATTCTTAATAAATATTCCGTATTTTCAAAAAAAAAAAAAAAATAAATTTTCACAATTTCTTCTACAACTTTTTCTTGAATATTTTCTTCAAAAATTAACCAAAGCTTTTCTGATTCACAGCTACTTCAGTTCGCCCAGAAACGGCTATCCTCCAGGTCTAGATCCAAGGTTTCCGGCGTTCAAAACTGCCGCCACACCCTTCGTCGGTTTGATGGCGCCGTTGGGTGCGCCACAACCGTCAACCGTGTCCACCACCTCCCCTCTATCCAATAAAGATCCGAAAGAGCAGAAGCAGGAGAGTCTGTTCGGTAATCCCGTGTTCCCACCGATGCTGGACATGTCGTCGACGCAAGCACTTTTGCACATGGTGAGGACCGCGAATGCTGCACAAAATGCTGCAGAACTGGAAACGTATCTCAAAGGTAATTATAAAATATGATTTTATTTATTGTTGAATTTTTATTTTATTTGAGATTTATTTTTTCGTTGATTTAAAATGATGATAGAGATTTGTGAGATATTTGGAAATCAAATTGCAAACTCTCATTGAGAACAAATTTTATTTTGTTTTTGAAAAGTTAAATAGTAATAAACATTTTATGGTAGGTAAGTCTTGGAAATGTATAAAAAATAGAATTGATCAATGTATGTAGTGTTCTAATTTAATCCTTTAATTACGATATTTAAATATAAATTGTATCTTATTATTAGAGGAGATATATGAATATTTTAATAATTAATTATAATATAGTCTATTTTTAAAAAAACAAATATTTTTAATAATTATTTTTAAATAAAAATAGTTTTATTTCTATGGAAAAATAATATTCTTGAATATCTTTTTCTTTATGATAATTGGAATTCCATAGAATAGGGAGAATATATAAAAATTTTTGATCGATGTCATTTGAATTTTAAACATTAATGGAAAAACAATTAAAAAGTTATCGAACTCATATTTTAATACGTATTTATACATTTATTAAAATTATATTCCGAATTATAAAATATTCGTATTTAATTATGCAAATTTAGACAGATTAATATTCATAAAATAGATAATATTTATTCAAATTTTGAGAGATCGAATATTATTAAGAAATAATATTCCGCTAATATTATTTATTACGTATTATACACAGCCGTTCTAAACTTAGTTTTTGTTTTTTCCAAATAATAAGTTCGGTTACTGTCAATCTTTCCAATGTTTTGATTTTGCGTCGTACGTATAAAGTCTCGAGCTCGTTTAATAACATTCGAGCGTTTAGTTTGTCGTCGATCTCCCTAAGCGTAACATCTCGTTACGAATATTCCGCATTTTCTCGCAAATTAATTATAAGTTATTTTTTTAATTTAAGCATTTTTAATATAAATTTAATATCGTTTTATTAATTTCCGATATAAAACTCATAAATAGAAATTTAATTAATTAATTTTCATTTGTTATAATTTAGTATTATAAAACTAAATTATGGATATTTTTTTCGTACAAAATAAGAACTTTTTTTTACATTTAATCGTGAAAATTCACAAATAAAAATCAGAGAAATATAAATCAGTTAAAAACGTGCCTAAATTTCTTTAATTTTCTAAATTTTGATTTAACATTTTCACTG